TTCTCACAGAGCAATGACCATAGCGACTACGATATTGCTCTCGCCTCCACGCGCTGTGTTGTCTGGCGTATTCACTGAGCCCGTGCTTGAAATACACTGCCAGGATAGCAAATTACTAAAAGACCTAGTCAGAGAGCGATGCTTTTTTGATAGTGATTAATGAACCACGGCGCACAAAACATCATGCCTGCAATCTGATCGCTGTCTCTCATCCAGCTCTTCCAGCGTGAGAATTAGTTATCGAGGTATACATTGCCGCACTGCTGCATTCGCTTACACGCTATGCACTGTACGGTCTGTATACCGCATCAGCGTTCATATTGCTGTCACAAGTTATAGACTAGTATAATTACAAGAGCTAATAATACCAATAGCTAATAATACTAATAATACAAGAGGTATTATTAGCTCTTGATAATTAGTCTAATAATAATTGTAATAATTAGAACACAAGTAGTCATTTTAATTTCTCATGAAGACATTCACACTTAAACCGCCCCACATGCAACTAGAAATGGCAGTTGTCGCCAACCACATGTATCCCCCGCGATCTAGTATGAATGAAATATCTCCTGGTTTTGGTACGCGACACACCTTCTCCCCAAGATGTGTAAGTATACTAAGTTTGCTCGCGCGAGGTAAATTAGGGGCCGAGTTATAGAGCGGAAGAGAAATATGATCAAGGTCAAGGTAAAATAAAAGTCGCAGTGACCTGGTTTTGGTACGTGACACACCTTCTCCCCAAGATGTGTAAGTACACCAAGTTTGGTCGCACTAGGTGAATTAACGGTTGAGTTATAGAGCTATAGAGTTATAGAGTTATAGAGCTATAGAGTTATAGAGAAGTGTCTGCGGCAGCGGCTGGACAGACATGAAACCATAGTATACCTGCCGACTTCGTCGCAGGGGATACAATAAAATATAGCTTGGTGCACTTCACCCAAAAGGGTCCCCCAACCTCCACTAACGTTATCGTATGCAATGGTATGTAAGTCCATGCACATCTCACTGAAATAGTTTCAATGGTGGGCAAGGGTATAATCTTGGTTGTGGTCTACAACCCAGAAAGATCTTCTCTGTTCTCCTCTATTATCTTAGGCCATCCTTAAAAAATTCTATGTTTGCTGTCCCCCGACCCATGATTTTTTTAGTGGGTAGGTAGGTAGGTCTTTTTTTTAGGTATAATTGTTATTTTAAGTCTGTCCTCATGTTTGCCACACATGCTTTGTGTTTCAGTCTTAACTATAAAAAATGTAAAAAAAAAAAAAAAAAGGAACCCAAAATGAAAAAAAAACAACGTTTGGGTCGCGGCTATTTTCGTGGGTCGGTCGGAGGACAGCAAACATATAATTTTTTAAGGATGGCCTTAGATCTCACAGATACCATGGTTTATCTTCTTTCCATAATGCTGTTCGTAAAACCATTCGGCAGAATTTTGCATTTTCTTAAAATCTACATACCCATTAGTGATAAGGTACTTACATCTTCTGCCAGATCCTCCTGCTGAGCTAGGGGAGGTGACACTCGCTTTGATTCTTCCGTTGATGACAAAACTAGGCTCTGAAATAAAGATGTGCAAGAGGTGAACCCTGGAACTTTAGTAATATGCTTGTAGTAAAAATATCGACTCAATTTATTTGCATCCTACGACACCAACACTCAAAACCTGTACCATCTGTATGCATCACCTGTTTGGTAACCTAGGTACATTCCCCACATACGCCAGTCTGTCAGTATCCCCGATCCCCTGCCAGCCTGTCTGCATCCCTCATGTCCTGCCAGCCTTCCAGCTAGCCCGTCTGCACCCCCTAGACATGTTAGCATATCCTACTAGCCTGCCTACATCCCTCACACTTGCCAGCCTATCCAACTAGCCCGATTGCATTCCAAAACGCATGCACAGTCACTAAATTTGCCTATATATATATGTCATATAATAATTATATATATAATATATGAGGATATAACATATAACATAGCACTTGTTACATAAGGGTGAAACACTTGGTTGTTCACCTTGATAGAATTTAAAGTTCAAATTCGGGAAGAGCCATCAGTACATTAACTTGCGGCTGTATTTTACAAGCAAAGCACCACAAGTGTACTCACGTCAGACATCAGAATTAATGCTGTTTTAAGCAGATTGGCAGCATTTATTGACTTGCACTCGCTACAAAATGTAAATTTTCACGCGTGCAAACACGCACTCTCACGCACACACGCACACACACAAACAAACACACACGTATCAGGCCTCTCCCCTCAACCGAGAACCTGCACTCATTTATTCTGCCATGATCCCAGATCAAAATGAAAGTGTCAATGACACTGTAGCTCACCACAAAAAGGACACAAATGAGTGAGTGAGAAGAAGTCAGTTTTAATTGAGCAACCATCGACGTACATTATAGAAACAAAGAGTATATATAATATCAAGAGCGGATAATACCTAGAGTGTACAACGGAAAAACGGGAAAATAGTGCTATTTCACGACTACAT